ATACACATTATATATTAATTATACGTATATTATATATTCACCGATTATTTTTAATTTAAGCGGTTGAATAGGCGGCTATTTTGTTTTTTGTTTTCCAATGAAACTTCTAGTCTGTTGTTGTACTCTTAAATTCTGGATTATAACAGCTGTCTTATTTCATATTTAAGCAGGATAATTGCATCAGACTTCTTGAAGAGTTAACTATGTAACTATCCGTTTCTGTGAGATATAATCTATTTGTACAATCAGGCTATGATTAAACAAAAGTGACTCTTGGTCGCCATTTGTAGAATATAATTTTCTAATTAAGAGGGTTTAAATTAAACCCTTTTGCCTGAACGTCTATAGCTCCATTCCAAAGTTATATTCAAATTTACTGGTTCTGATTTTAAGTTCTCAAGACCTCGACCTCATGGGCAAATTTATGGTATAGTCAGGGGTTCACGTGAACTCAATAACTTTTGTGCTGATTTTATATTTGTGTTAAAAATTTACTAAATGTATAATAATATTTAACTCGGAACCAAGTTCGTTGATCCGATTATTATTACATATTAAGTTAAGATCGTTATAGGAAATCACAAACTTCAAATCTTGTATCTGTCTATGCAGAACCTGATTGAGGAGCTCCAAATATATCTCTTGTCATGTGATCGTGCTGGTTATGGAGAGAGTGATCCACATTCAAAACGTTCAGCGAAGAGTGAAGCATTGGATATTCAGGAGCTAGCCAACAAGTTGCAATTAGGACCAAAGTTCTATATTGTTGGCTTGTCCATGGGAGCCTACCCTGTTTGGGGTTGCCTAAATCACATTCCACAAAGGTATATATACTTTGGAAATCATTGTCTAATTTGATGTATGATACGTTAACTTTATCGAGTATAAATGGTCGTCTGGTGCACTAAGCTCCCGTTATGTGCGAGATTTAGGAAAGGGCCGGATCACAAGAGTCTATTGTACGCGGTCTTTCCCTACATTTCTGCAAGAGAGTTTGAATTCATGACCTCCTGGTCACATGGCAACAACTTTACCAGTTACGCAAAGACCCTCGTATCTATATAATACTAAAATCTCAAAATTATTTTATTTTATTAAAGTAATTGAACTATGTTTGAATAGTTTAAAAAATACAAATGTCCGACCAGAAGATCTAATTTCTGACACCTGGTTATGACACGTCACTCACCACTTCTCGCACTTTTTTCACTCAATAAATTTTACACGCTGCCATTACCCGGAATTCGCCATTGGAGAACTCTTCCTCAGTCTCATTTGATAATCTTGTAAGCCAGCAAATCATTAGCGTAATCACCAAATGAAATGCCAAAATTAATTAGTCACACTTTGGCTTACCAGAAGACACAACACAAAAATAACACGATTCCTTTTACTCTAACTTTCTCTTCTTTTTACACATTTACTTTTTTATGTTTTAACCTCATATTAAATTCACCCAAAATAATTGGGCGAAGGAAAAACAAGATCAACAAGAAAATGGAAGTGAAGCTATAGCAGGAAAGAAAAGAAAGGGATTATGATGTTGAAATATTTTCTTTCTTTTTTGAGGTCAATGAAATTAAGTTTTGTGCTAAGTTTATATTCTACCCTTTTAATTTTCTGTACATATTCCCCTCCGTCATCACCATGGCCACCTTTTCATTTTACTCCTCTTTCTCTTTCTAATTGCACTCAAATTGCTCATTTTAATTATTTTTAAATAAGTCAATATCCGTCCACGTGGACCAATTAAGAGTGCCACATGGATTTTTTTAAAAGGCTTACGCAGTCGATTAGTCAACTGTTAGTTGTAGGGACATTTTTGAGCCAAAATATAACGTTAAATGTATTTGTAATCTTACATGTGGAGGAAGGATATTTTAAAGCTAAATCCAATAGGATAGGGCGTTACTTAATAAATATAATGAGAATGGGTTATTCAAACAAAAAAGAAAAGGCCCTACTTAGTTGACCTACAATGACAAAGGTTTGTGAGCGAATCATAGTGAACCTCTCCTTGTGATCTGTTCCGTTTATAGTATAAAAGTTGTTTAGTTATCCCATATTTCATTTAAATACATTTTTTAATTATCTTTTGTTAAAAACATGGATAGTAAAACTTTTTACATGGTTGAACTTTTTCTTTCTTCTTTTCTTTTTAATTTTCTGACGTGGAATTTATAAAGTGGTAAAGAGCTGCCATGAAAAGTGACATGTCATAACTGAGGTCATTTGTTTGACCTTCTGGTCATTTATATTCACATATTTTAGTTACTTTAATATGATAAAATATTATTTTGTGACTTATCCTGTTGTAGTAGGCAAAATTTAATGGGCGTTTTGGACATAAGAATTCTGAAATTTCGGAAAAACCAAAAAAACAAGTAAAAATGATATTTAAAAATTAGAGTTGTATCTGGACATGAATATAATTTAGAGTTGTTTTTGAATTCTTGTGAGTGATTTGAAGTGAAAATTTTGAAAAATAACTTTTAAAATTTTTTCAAATATTCTGAAATTCAATTTCAAGTGAAATTTAAAAATTTCATGCCCAAATACCGATTCGAAAAAAAAGTAAAAAATTTCAAATTAACCCGAAGTTCTACATTATTATGTGATTGATTTATCGAGCATCTGTGTAGATTGGCTGGAGTTGCTCTTGTAGGTCCGGCTGTGAACTATTGGTGGAGTTGTTATCCTTCTAAACTATCAAAAGAAGCTTTGGAAATGATAATTCCACAAGACAAGAGGATATTTCAAATTGCACATTATGCCCCTTGGCTGGTTAATTGGTGGATGAATCAAAAATGGTTCCATACTTTAAGTTATATGGAAGGAAATATGGCGATTTTTTGCGATGCGGATTTGAAAATCGTGAAACAGTTAGACAAAACCCTGAGTCCTGGTCAGGTAAATACACTATTTGAACTTGAGGTCAAATTCCTTTGACACACTTGCATGTAACGGTCTAGTTTACTAGTAATATTGTTCGCATTGAGCCTAGATCCGCACGGATTTAAAAATGCGTCACTAGAATTTAAGACTTGTTTTGACCAAATAATTTGATAGTTCATTTTGAGTTCAGCCGTTAGTTGAAGTCAATAAACTAGTCATGGTGCGACACATTTAAACTTGAGCCAGTTATACAATAATAGCATGTTTGACCAAACTCAAAAAAATAGGCTTATTTTTAGAAGTATTTTTTTTTTTAAATGGTTTTTTCAAAAGTATTTTTGGTGAGAAGCAGTTTGTGTTTGTATAATTAATTTGAAAATCACTTTTGAGCAACAATTAAAGTTTGACTCTAAGTGTATTTTTCTCAAAAGTGCTTTTGGAGAGAAACTATTTTTTTTTGCTTCTGTTTCTACTCAAAAGCAAAAAATTTCTTCGAAAACCTTGGCCAAACACTCCAATTTTGAAAAAAATATATACTTTTTTTCAGAAAAAAATATACTTTTAGTTTTGGAGAAGATCGGGCAAACAGGCTATAAGTCGACACGCTCTTTTATGTGAACTTGATTCTTTTGTTTTTTCATTCAGGAAAAGGTACGACAACAGGGCGAGTTTGAATCGCTATACCGAGACCTAATAGTAGGTTATGGAAAATGGGAATTTGATCCAACAGAAGTTTCTAATCCATTCCAAGAAAATGAAGGTAAAGTCCATCTATGGCAAGGTTATGATGACAGAATTATCCCAAGAAAACTTAATCAATATTTAGCAGAGAAGCTTCATTGGATTCAATATCATGAGGTTCCTAGTGCTGGACATTTCTTAATTTACAATGCCACTCTATGTGAAATCATATTGAGGAAACTTGTGATTGGATGAAGAGGAAATAGTATGACTAAATTCAGAAACGGATTCAAGATTTAAAGTTTATGGGTTCTTGTAATAATCTCAAGTTAATATACAATAACGACTGAGTTCATATTCTAATATATATAAACATTTAATAAATTTCTTAATATGTATGTAAGGTATAAGCAAAAACTGATGTGTTCCGGTAAACCTGTATATAGTAGTTAATACTTTGGATTCCCCCCCCCCCCCCCCGACTAAATTTGGCAGCTTATGATTGTATAGGTAGATTATTTTCTACAAGCAGGTTGAGATGAACAACTTTAAAAATAAGTGTAATATTCCTAGCTTTTGTGATAATTCCAAGTAAAAATAAAAGGCTACAACAATTTTCTGATTCAACTGATCTCGTGCATGCTTTCTTTCCAAGAAAATGCACTAGAATGATCACATTTAGAAATTAACAAACTCATCAGAGAGAGCGCTTTCAGTTTAATGGGCCTTATATATTAGGATCTGCGAATTTAAATTAGTCAGATCAATTGGCTTAAGACACACACACAAAAAGAGACCAATTTTGATTGCTTTTAGCTCAATACTAGAATATCCCCTTTAGCTTTAAGTTCTCAATTTTCGATTGTTTTGGCCTATTTCTTATTGCTCTCTTAAAAATATGTGTAAGACATGGCCTAAATTTATTCGTGGATAATCTTGGAGCTAAAGTATTTTAGCTTGGAGCCAAAGAATAAAAGTATTTTCTTTATTTATTTTTCTTTGCTTGGATACCAAGATTTTTGCCCTATAAATATGGATCTTCTTACTTCATTTGAATGATCCCACATTTTGATTGAAACTCATCTTGAGTATTTTTTGTGAGAGAGAATTTTAATATATTCCATTGGGAAATTTGAATGAACTTCTTTTTTGTGAGTGATTTTATTATGTTATTCTCTTGTGATATATTTTTGGAAAATTTTTATCTTTAATTTTGTACTCCTTTTTTTGTACCAGTTGTTATAGTGAAATTGCTCCTTTACACTTGATATAAATCACATTGACTGAACCACGTTAACTATTGTAATTTCAAAAAGGAGGATTAGTTTTAGGCTCTATATATTGCCATAGAAATCATTTATAAATACTCCATTTAATAGAATTTTGGCTAATGATACAATCTTTTTATTTTTATTTTGAATAAACTAGTGTCTAGTAACATAAGAAATGAAAGAATCCATTTCCATCCTAGAAACACCACCATCCATCATAGATTCTCTAACTTTTTTACCAAATTCCATAGCTCTTTTCCTCATTTCATCTCCCCCTTGTGAAGCCATCAATTTTCTAACAGCATTTTCAATTTTTGTTGAAGTAACCAAATCTTCACAATGCTCCCAATCTTTCACAACTATGCCAATTTTCAACACATTTGTCACTAACACTGCATTTCTTGGCTGATCAAAACTCATTGGCCATGTAGCAATAGGTACTCCCATAGTAATACTCTCCATACAAGAATTCCATCCGCAATGACTCAGAAAACCGCCAGTTGATGAATGTGCCAAGATTTCAAATTGTGGTGCCCAATCTTTTATAACAATCCCTCTTCCTTCTATTCTTTCTTCATATCCATTTGGGATATTAACTTCTTCACCTTCTCCTAACAACACATCTCTCACTACCCAAATGAACTTTTGGTTACTTTTTTCTAATCCAATTGCTAGCTCTTTGATTTGTTCACTAGATAATGAACTTGTTGTTCCAAATGAAACTAATATTACTGAGTTTGGTTCTTGTTTGTCAAGCCATTTCAAACATTTGTGACAATTTTTTGAGTCTTTTTGTATTTTGATTGGATTAAATGGACCAATAGCCCATTGGTTGCCTCTTCTTAACAACCTATGTAATTTTTCTAGACTTTCAAGAAATGACCCCTCAATAACTTTGCATGTATCAAATAGATTTCCAGAACAAATATTATGATGTCTATCTTGCATAAAAATAAAATGCAATAACTCTTGTGTGAAACTACTCTCAAGTGATGGAAGTTGTTGTGGAATTTTAAGAAGTTTGGTAGCAATAAATTTCCCTAGAAATTTAGGGAGATGGAAAAATTTCTCTATACCTTCCCATAGAATAGAGCTTGTAGTAAAAGCAGAAACAGCGCGAAAACAATAGGCCTCAACATTTGGTATAGAAACTACATCTTGAACTACCCAAGCCATTAAGCTATCATAAATAATTACCATTCTCCTAGTTGTGCTAGAGAGTTCATTTAGAAATGCACTTATTGGCTCTCTTAAGGTTAAAGATAAATCAAGTGTTGATGCTATGAATTTTGACATATTAGAACAATTAGGAGATTGAACATGAGTTGAAGGTATTGGAAATTCTTTGAAATGGATGTTAGGAGTGGTATTGGTGATAGGATCCCAACCATGGACGCGAAATTTAGCCTGTCGAATAGAAGTACTAAAACTGACATAATGGACCGGTAAATGGTACGATGATACGAGACGAGAGAGATGGAGGAGTTGATTGAGATGTCCTTGAGCTGGAAAGGGTACCATAACTATTAGAACATCTTGATCTTTGGTGCAATTTTGGCTATGGTTTGCTAGAGAAGCAATATTGCTAGCCATTGCAAGATTTTTATAAGAATCTAATGTTGTTTCAGTATGGCTTTTCAATAGGATGTATGCTAGCTCTTATATATATGATAATCAGTGAACAATGTGCAAAAATAGGAACTGAATTGTAACACATCAATTGCATGAGCAGAGAAGTACAAAGTAAACCTTTTTTGATAGCCTTGGAAACAGCCTCTCGCAGAAATGCAAGGTAAGGTTGCGTACAATAGACCCTTATAGTTCAATTCTTCTCCGAATCCCGCATCACGGAAGCTTAGTGCACCGGGCTGCCTTGTTTTTTTTTTTTTCTACGAGGAAGGTATGGAAGTCTTTCATCATATTGCTGACAATAAGGTTGAAACATGTATCAACATGATTATGCAAGTGCAATTATATGGGTTGAGCTTCCTCCTCAGACTTTTCTACCCCAAGTGACTCTGGTACTTGTATAACGCTTCCATTTTAATTTATGTGGCATTATTTGACTGGGCACGAAATTTAAACAAAAATAAAAAACTTTTGAAATTGGTTTTAAACATCTCGTAATATTTTTGTAACTTTAAGACTTTTGAAATGTATAATATTAAATATGATATAACATTTTTGATTATAAAAGTTTGTCAATAAGCGAGAAATGAGAAGTATAATTTAGATTATTTGCTAATAAAAAACTATCATTCTTTTTTAAACGGACTATAAAAGAAATATTGCCACATAAACTAAAACGGAGCAAATATTATGATGAAGCTTATATCCATGAACCTGTTACATCGACCTTGAATTCATTAAATTCTGCGCGCCGCAACATGTTTATTGATTCATGCCATGATTGGCTTATATTAGCACTTGGGCTAG